TGTGGATTCTCCCGTCCCACGAACAGGGAGCGGATGGTCCCAGTCGATGGGGCAAGGATCAGGGGATCGGGGGACTGGGGGACAAGGGGACAAGGGGACAGGGGACAGGGGGACAGAGGGACAGGGTGCTCGTCGTGGGGAGTAGAGGCTGCGCAACTCGATGACTTCGCTCCCCGTTCGTCACGTGGAACCATACCATTAGGGTAAACCATTATATATCGTTATCAATAGACTTCGCTTACGCGGAAAAGAAGCAGTCTGTTTTGGAGCTCTGGCGCCTTTATTTCCTTGCGATGCTCTTTGGGGGAAGACAAAAGAATGAAGTCCGAGGACGAACCGATATCCCGATTGCCAGGAATCCAAAAAGATGACTCATTTTCCCTTTATTTGAATCGAATTCGCCGCACGTAAACGACATTTGCGTCGGCGTCCATCGAAAACGAGAAAGCGATGTAGACATGGAATTTCAGCAATCGCATTCAAAAAGTATATAAACGGACGAGTTCCAACCGAACTCTAATTTTTTTTGTCGGTTCTACTTCGATGACAAGGCCGCAACGTTGCTCGGAAAGCTTGGAGCGAAGCGGTACATCGTGCCAATGAGCTCCTGGACTCTTACCTGCGTATCGCCTAAATCAATCCCATTCGGCACAACAATGTTGTGTCAACGTTGAAAAAAGGTTGATGGCAATGTTGCCTCAATGTTGAGAAAAGGTTGACTTTTCAACGTAACATGTTGCCATGATGTTGCCACAATGTTGAAATGAAACACAGCTCAACGTTGAAAAGTTGATGCTGTGCGACGTTGTGTCAACGTTGAATTTTCAACGTAAGGGCATTATAGTACCTCCTTCCTATTCCAGGGTTTGAATGAGCTTTGATTGTCGGATGAAATTGAATATGGTCTCGATAGCTCCATAGATGGTTCCCAAGAGTCGTTGATAGTAGTAGTACTCTATCGAGTACAATCATCCCACGTAAAGGACCCTCGGAGTTTTATTTCCTCTACTGAATGAGAATTCACGGTGAGTACCTGCATGACTCAAGTAACTCTCGATACAGTAGAGGAAAACAACCTCGCGGGCATGGTTTTTATACTCTATCCATCATGGATGAGTCTGAGTAAGGGCGCGTGCCATGTGGAGATTTAGGAAAATTGAGCGTGTCTTTTCGGACCCACTAGCCAGAAGTACTTTGGGTCTCCTTCTGCCTGATTGCCTCCTTAAACATGTCTATCTAGGAATTCCTATACCTTCCCCTATGCTGTAAATGGGAAAAGATTGGGTACTGTCTGAAAAACGCAGGGTACTGGTTATTTAAAGGCATCAGGATAAGAATCGCGGAATTGGCGGTTATGTGCCATCTCGCGTCGATTCGTAGAACCAAATTTTAGTTGATATGATGTGGATAACTCCACGTAAAAACAACATTGAAAATAAGATTTTTTTAATTTGCTCCTAATAGCCTCTGAACGACTTCCCTAGTTCACGAGTAGTCACCAAATGCTGAAAATACGGTTAATTATGAATAGCTAGCATTTCACTGATGTTGATTTTTCGTCGAATTCTCAACTTCAACCAAGTCTCAACGTTTCAACCTATTCTCAATGTTGATACAACGTTGTTGTGCCGAATGGGATGCGAATTTAGCTGCCATGTATCTTTTCGATATCGAATACCGAAACGCACCATTTCGTGAATTTCTTCCCTAAAGTATGTGCTTGACAGGAGGCATGAGTTGAGAATGTTAGAGAAACATTCTCAACTCGTTAGAGCTAGCAGCGAAGCTTGTTACGGTGGTAAGACAATAAACAAAGAGAATTTAAAAATCGATTCCTTTTTTTCCCCAGGGGCACTTGTGGGTTCCCAATTACCATTGCGAAATTGTTTTAAATAACCACGCTAAAGAAGAGTTAACCGATTTCGTTTCCGGATGAGTCCGAAGAGACAAAATCACTCGGAAATTTTAAATGGGTTAAATAAAGAAGTTGACGGGCAAAAAAGTCGGACGAATCGAACCGATAAGTAAAGGAATAAGGGAAAGCAATGTATGGGTGGTTAAACTATCACAAATTTGCAACATAAAAGTAATATTATGGGCTGAAAACATGGAATAATTCAGTACGTCTGTATGCATTGTCGGAAAATGATAGGACTTTTACACTCTGAGCACCTTTGATTTCGCTATTACTAAAGTTCTGTAACCTATTGGTAAGTATGCACACACTAGACCGACAATCGTGTTCCAAGAGTGCATAAGTCATCATCTTTTTTTCATTGAGAAATGTAGCCGGAGATGTTCCTTTTTCAGATACCTGCACTCTTTCATCAGAGGGAAGAATCAAGAAAATTAAACTCTTTCGATGGTATCAAGATGCAGACCGACTATCTATGGTTAGCAGTTATGGATCGTGCATAACTGCTAACCATGCGGTTAGCAGTCATGTTATGGTTTTGAAATTTGTCTGTGCTTCTGATAAATGAGTCAAATTTCTCGAAGATCTTTGGTCGCTGCACCATGCGAAACGCGTTTTGTGCTGGCATTCTCTTTAACCGCACGAGTTCTACACGAGAGCTTCAGTACTTCGAGTGACTTGAATAATACACACGAGTCGGAGGATATGAGGGTGATCTGCATGGAAGGCGTATATCCCCGTCGAAGAAGGAAATATGGAGCCGAGACACGCAACGGGGGAAATAGTTAGCATGGATAATGCCGAGCGGAGATGAGTATGCCTGCATACACGTGTGTGTTCCCGTACGGGACCGAGGAATAATGCACCGAAGAAGAGTTTCTCATAAATTCATGAACACCATCCCCCTCTATGATTAGGGACCCATCGATATCTCCCATAAGGAGAGAATGCAAAGCGAATTTTCCCTTTTGATGGATGATCCTCCGATTTTTCAACCGCATTTCCTCCGTATCCATAATTCAACATCAATATGCAGGCATCGATGGTTTTGCTAAATTCTTGAACGTGTAATCTCGAGTCGAAGAGACTCATCGATTAGGATCATGGATTCGAAATCCCATAATCATGGATGCAGTGTGGGTCGAATCGAGAAGAGAGAAAGGCGAGGGGGGTAATTGAGAGATGAAGGATGTCGGGATACGGTTGGTTGCTTCAAGACATCATTTATTTTTCCCCCTTTTCTCTTCCGTCTTCTTTTCTTCCTCTCCCTCTATTTTGGCGGACCGCGGCGGGCCCGTTCATTTGTCAAAAACTGTCCCGCCAGAATTCATAACGATCCCCGGGTCCGTCGTGCCTGGAAACCCGAATTTTTTATTTCTATTTTTTCTCCTTTTGGGGTGGGGTGGGGGAGGATCCACAGGAGCGAACGGGGGACACGTGCCTCTGGAAGTGGGGAGGGTGTCTGGCTCTCAATAGACCGTCGATAATCCGGATTTCGCTCTCGCCTCCCTTCGAATCGATCTTTCCTCTTTCTGTCCTTCTTGCTCTTCTGCATATCTGCGTCTCTGTCCGCTCGATCGATGTCTTACTGGACCCGAAGGGAGAAACTTCTACCTCTGCGGATTGACATATCGTTAAAAAAAAGCCTTGTTTCGCTGAAATGGGTTTATTTCCCCTTTTCTCCTCCCTTTTCCCAATCGAGGCAATTGCATCTGGTTGCTACGAAGGGCAAAGGCCTGTTTCCTGCCATGTTGATCGCGAATACGAAAGGCGTATTGGGAAGGCACAAATTCATTCGCCGATCCTGCCAGCACGACACCGTAGAGACAGGTGACTGCATCTTTAAAATGGCCGGTCGATGATGATCTCGATCGGGCTGAATGAAATAGCTCCGTGATCGTGTATGTATCGAAACAGAATTGAGATCATTGAAAGAATTCCTTACAGATCCCTCTCCTTCTCTACATGGCTGCCGCTGAATATGTCGTGCCTTACGTCAAATTCGGACATTGTCGTCGTTCAATCAATTGTATACTTATTAATACTGTACATGAATGCACAAAGAGTTCCAAGTTACCATTGGGAATACTACAGCCATGACCACTGTATTGATATTTATTTATTTATTTTTCTACTTTGGATTCGACTCCCAAAATGTTTTAGGTAAATTCCCCGCGGACGTGAAACTGTTAATATATCAAGGGCTTCGCTTGAAATATATACCGGTCCTAATTTTTTAGATATCCTTAATCAACTGCCTAAATACCGGGTAGCCCCCACAAAAAAAACGTTCCGAACTTTACACTCCTGCAGACAGAATACCATATGAGCTATCGACAGGAAATTTGCAGGGTTTCATATCCAATGTGTGTTGGTAACGTCGCAAAAATTTCAATGAAATTGGTCTTTAAATTCCAGAGTAACAGTTTTTCTCCCGCGCGATATCAAAAGGGCGAACGTGTAAAGATGTGCGACTGACCTCAATAAAGGGATGTTCGATCGGGACATCCATTCTGGTCCACAACTGCTTGCAGACGCTGTTTCCATTGGTTCATTGACTTTCTTATTGTGTTGTCAAAGACAAGAGGCCACGATTCCTCAATTCAAGCCTTCAATTCAGCAAGTAATGTAAAAGGGGATGTTGCATTCAGCATGAACTGGCTCCTTCGATTGTCCCATGAGCTGTAGTTGAGGGAGTTTACGTCTGGAGAATAGGAAGGCCACTGATTTTCTCAAATGAAGTCAGGAGTGTTATTCTTTAAGTACTCATGCACACGTTTGGCACGATGTGAAGGAGCACTATCTTGCATGAAAATTTTGTCGTGATTTGGGTCCAACTGTCTGCATTGAGAGAAATTATTCTCCAAGAACTCCAGGTGGTTCTCTTGATTTACCTTCAATCGCTGTGAATCCACGAGAAAAAATCTCCGCCATGTTCATCCTGAATAGCACAGAACAGCACATGGACAATTGAAGGAATCAGTTCATGCTGAATGCAACATCCCCTTTTACATTACTTGCCGAACTGAAGGCTTGAATTGAGGAATCGTGGCCTCTTGTCTATGACAACACAATAAGAAAGTCAATGAACCAATGGAAACAGCGTCTGCGAGCAGTTGTGGACCAGAATGGAGGACCCGATCGAACATCCCTTCATCGAGGTCAGTCGCACATCTTTACACACTCCCCCTTTGTTCGGAACCTTTTGGGGGGCCACCCGGTATTTCAGGCGAAGGGAAACTACTTGGACATCCAGCTCTCCACGAATATCACGAATTTTTCCATACCACCAAAAAAGTCTTCAGTGTACTGTCTGGAGTGTAATTATGAATAATTTATATTATTGCTGGTTAATTTTTTTTCAGAGGAACCAGAGCCGACTTTCGTGGACAAAATCGAGAACCAGACGGTACCAGCCGGACGAGATGTGGTCTTCTCTTGCAGGGTGACCCGATTGGGGTCGTACAAGGTGGCATGGATCCACGCGAAGCAGGCGGCGATATTAACGGTGAAGAGCCACGTGATCACGCGGAATCCTCGAATCAGCGTGACTCACGGGGAGACTCACCTGGCTTGGCATCTTCACATCACGGATGTCCAGCCCAGTGATGCCGGCGGCTACATGTGTCAGATCAACACGCTACCACCCAAGTCGATAACTGCCTTTCTTCACGTCGTCGGTCCGTTCCTTTCCTATAAACTTCTGTATCGAAGAGAAGGGAAAAATTCTATGGGAAGAAAGCGTCCGGGGGGGAGGGGGGGGGGGTCCTCTCGTCATCCAATTTGTGATCTGGGCGTAGGGGTTGAGGGGTCCTTCCCCTTTTAGCTGCTTTTTTTTTTAGGAGCTTTTAGCTGCAAACTGGATTGTGGACAGAATTTTTGAAAGGATGACTTGGCTTCATGACACATATCAGTATCTTTCTTTCTCCTCAAAGTAATGCCTCAAGAGAGACACCCAGATGATCCTAATATGCCTCATACCATCCAGTGGACCGCGTTGGGAGACTTCACTTTCGAGTGAAGCGTGCCAGTTGAGGAGCGACAGGCGCCGCATCTCAGAAAGCGCGAATTGGATCAGATGCACGATAAATGAGTTCGAGAGAAGAGTTTGCTTGCCGTGGAATCGTTCCTTCGTGACATGCATCGACATGCAGTCCTCGAACAGTGGGCTGCTGCCAACCGATGGGAAACCATGGAATATCTCGTGAAACTACGATTTCGGCGATAGGATCTCACCAGAAAAGAGTGACATTCGTCTCCATCTCGTCATGTTAACGACTAGAGAACACACTACACACACACGCAATGTACCATTTCGATCACTGGAGATTCTTGTCAAATAGATTGGATTTCGTGAATGAAATTCTCGCACAGCCCGGCTCTGTTGTGTGCATGACTAAACGGCGAAACGCCACCACCATCAAATCGAAATCGTAGCCCTTGACTTCAGCGAGGCCTTCTACATGGTCCCACGGGAGAGTTAAAATTCAAATTATGGTCACACCGCATTAATTGATCTTCCTTTTCATGGAAATGCTTTTTGTTCGACCGAAAGCCCGCCTGTGGTGAACGAAATCGCCTTAGGTTGGGAACTCTCGAGAAGTCTCACAGGGCTCACTTCTCTGATTCCTTCATCTGTAATTGCCGATGCCTGCGTCATGTAATTTGAGACATCCATAGTAAGGGTGATGGTGCAATCGCTGCTACTAGACCCTTTTTGCTTCAGCAAGTTCCAAGAAACGACTGCTAAACCATCTCGTTGCAAAGTCGTCGGCATCTGCAAGCGCTGAAGTCCCATTTGTACTCCTGAGACCCCAGCTATTTTTCCTCATTGATCTGTAAAACCCTTTAAGCATAATAGGTGATCCATTCCATGGAAAATTATCAGGGGTTTCTTTTGGATTATATGCAGACCCCGCAGAGCAATTGAACGCGTTTCGAGCTACAAGTAGCCCCTTGAATGGTTGACCGACGTCGTTGGAGAGAAGAAAAAAGGAGCCGCAACTGCAGGAAGGGAACTGGGGCCCCGCCTAATTTCTCTTTATTCTTTGATTGGTGTCCTCATCGAACCCTCATATTAGTGTTTGCTGTAAGAAACGCTGCGATACTCCATGGTACACACTGACGATGGCAGTATTGGTACTTCTCGTTCGACCATCGCATCTACGACTGTTCGGAGATGCTCCTGGCCCTGATTCCAACCTCACCCATCGTCTATGACGAAGGCACGATCGAGAGAGTCGCGTTTGATTTGAAACCAAGCATTTTTCGCCCTCGACAGAAAACAAGCGGCGTTCTTCCAGAAGCCGATACAGATTCACATGAAGCTTCTGCTCTCTGCCGGCCCTTTCAGCGGCATCCTAAGAAGACAAAGAGAGCGCATGTTTTATTTCATCTTTCGTTCATGAAGCTATGGCGTTGTCTCATTTTGCTAAATTACGTTCACCACGATCGCTGCAAATAGGAATGTCCTCATCTGAAACTAAAAGCTCACGAGGCAAAGTAATTCCAGAGAGCAAGCGTTCACCTGTTTGAAAAGCACACGAATGAGGATCATTTCTATGGTGCGAATCGTTTCACGATGGAGTTGGCCTCTCCTGTTCTTCCCTTTCCTTCCGCGAAAGTTACGACAGATGATTCGATGATGAGTTCGACCGAATTCGTTCCACCGTTGCTGTCGCCTTGCCCGTGATCGTCGTGCAATCGGCTGTCGGTGCAAGGTTGTTTCTCTGCAGGACGCCAGTTTGCATGCGACGTCTCGTGTCAAGGTCCTACTAGAGCCCGTTCTCTTTCCTTGTTTCTTGGTTCATTTCCTTAGGCAGAGCGTCACACCCTTCATTGGTGGTCCGATTCCACGGAAGAGAAAAACAAACAGGATTTCTCTCCTTTCCCCATTTCTCTTTTTTCCCCCCCTCTTGTCCGAAAGAAACCCTGCAACATTTTCGAGGAACGGTACAATAAGCTACAACTCATATGGATCTATGCTGGGAGAGCACGTAAGTCTGACGGCTTCAAAAGAGAACTCGCCTTGCGACTTGCCGGAACGAAAGACGAGGCAAAAACCTCTACCGGGTACGTGGACGAGAAGGCAGCTGCCTTTTGGCCCATCTGAGACGTACTCTCGAATTCGCGTCAAAATCGAGACCCTCGCAAAGCTATGGAATAGTTAGTGGTGGAAAAGTGCCGTAGATGCAGTTTATGCGTCCAGAACGGCTCGACGAAAACTGTTGACTCTGACTCGGCCGTAAGGTCTAGACCATGGGGGAGAGACAACTCGATTATCTCTCTTCATAATTTGTAGCGCTCTCCCTTTCATGAGATTATTTCTCTCGTAAATGACAAATCTAGCTTCAAATTAGAGATTGCTCGTTGACAAAGCCCTAGCAAAACCTATAAAGGGTTCTAGAGCTTTGCTCTCATCGCACTTCCCATCGCATTGCCCCTAATAAGTAACTTTTTTTATTTAAGAGTAATTGTAGGCTTCGAAGAACTCTCTCTAGATGCTAAATCCAGAAACGCAAGCAATACCGTGTAAAAGTACCTCTTCGGTCCAATAGTAAGAGATACCCGTCCAACAAACAATGAGGTTGACAATATTAGTGTTCCCAAACATTTTCACATTATCACAACTCTTAATTATGCGCGAGGTGGACATCCAGATCTTCTCACTGAAGGTGAGAAAACGTTGTGGTGAAATAACAAAGTTCCACAGTCTATTGGGAAAAATACGAAGTGCATAGTATTGCTACTTGAATGAAGTCTTGGATGAAATCAGTAGTTTCGCAGCGAAAGTCGGAACGAATGCGAGAATAATAGACAGTCTTTAAATGTTGCTGGTGAAGTGAGAAGGTGCACCCCGACGCATTTCCCATTGCATGACAAACGTGTTATTACGTTGCAGTGCCCCCGGAGATCGTGGACACGGAGACGAGCAAGGACTTGATAGTGCGTGAGAATAGCAACGTCAGTCTGACATGTAAGGCCAGTGGTTCTCCTCCGCCGAGTGTCTACTGGGAACGACAGGATGGGGCCCACATCACCCTCAATCGGACTCACTCCGGTACAGCGTCTCGTCACTTTTCCTCCTTACTCCCGGCTTTTGTTTCTATCTGAACGGAGTCGCCTTCGTGCGTTCTACGATCGGGGGATATGGAGGGAGGGATTACGAGAAAAAAAAGAGGAAAATCTCCGGATATGAGTTTTGGCCGTGTCGAAGCAGAATTAATGTCTGATCGGAGTGAGATATGAAAAATTCCAATCGAACATCTGCTTCCCGATTCCATTTCAATTTAAATTGTGTGATGAACTTGATTCTGCATGCCCTTGTCTCTCCTGAGATACCTTTGCGACATGTAGTCTCTCCAAGAGGCTCCTTGATTTGGGCTTATTTTACTCCACTATCGATCATTTTATCTGTTGTAGAGCAGCACGATATGAAGAATATTAGATTAATGATTCGGATCTTTGGTTATACTCGTTAGTCCCGTAAAGTGGGATGAAATGGAACGGTGAGACGAAGTGGAACAGGTATTAACTTGCAAATTAATAAGACTGGAAGTGAAGTTAAATTCAGATTTAAAATTCCCTGCTGTTCCTAGTTGCCACACTTCAAAGCACTACCAGTGAATATTCGACAGCCAAGCAGTTTTTCTCCGATCTAATACACGAGTGTGAAAAGGAGATAGATGGAAATCTAGAATAAAATATAATTCAAATAATTTCCAGAAACTGGAAATTGCTTGCCTGGCTGGGAATCTGAGAAAATCGTGAAAAATATTGGAAAAACGGTTACTGTCGTGGGTCCAAGGTTCCCATGAAATTCATTTTCAATAATTCTTAATGCCAAGATACACTTGGCGAGTACTTGCTAGCGAGTTCTCGCCAGCGAGTGAGCGAGTGTGGTGTTGCACTTGACGAGTGGGCAGATACACTTGGCGAGTACTCGACAAGTGTGTCTTGGCCTTTGCTGCCAGGTGATCCGCATTGGGATGCCAATACGTCGCTTTATTCTGCTCACTTGCGGATTCAGAGGGCTGTCTTCAGGACGTAATTCTCTTTCGTTTCCAGGCAAACGATGAGTCAGAAACTATCCTGTCAAGCATATCAGAGACCAAGTTATTTACATAAACTTAATACTCGCATATCTTAAAACTCTCTTCTGTTTTGGATAAAACCACCAACAACTGATTAAGCGATATTTTTAATTCTAAAAAAGAAATGTCAAGATTTCTTCCCCATCGCCAGTAACATTACGAAACGATTTTAATCGCCCTTCTATCTAAATGCTATCCGAATTTTGAAAATAATTTGAGTCAATTAATATACCCTTTTGTGTTTTTGCAATATCATCCATGAAGCAATCCTGTTTTTTTAACTGCTTTTTTAAAAATTATATTGAACAGTGCTTCGATTCGACGGTGAAGTGGTGAACTTGGTGAAGGTGGATCGGAAGGACATGGGTGTTTACCTTTGCAAGGCCCAAAACGGCGTTCCCCCCATCAGGACCAAACGTGTGAAAGTGAACGTCGACTGTGAGTCTCTCTTCGTCACTTCAGATGTGCGAGCAAAAGTAGAGTTCACCCCCTTGATATGTGCATGGCAGGATATGCAAGCTAAAGAGGGTGCAAGTGTGGACCCTGCATGTCAGGATGAACCGCTGCTTGAACTCTCTTAAGCATTTCTGTGGAGGTCCTCGTTACAACCCTGCATCTCGGAGGTAACCGAACATGGGATGAGATCGAGTAGAACAAGTTTCTGCTCTCGTATCTGATCGCGTGCGAGTACAACAATTGGGATTTAACCTTTTTGCGTCACGGTGCAGTGCACGTAGCTGTGGTCGACCTTTTTCTTTTTCCTTCATCCGCTCTTAAAAAAGCGCGAAACGGATGGTATGTTTGCAGTCCCCCCGTACCTGTGGATCCAGCACCAGCTGGTGGGAGCACCCTTGCATGCGACGGTGACTCTGGAGTGCCAGACGGAAGCGCACCCTGACTCCATCAACAGTTGGACCAGGGAAGACGGAAATATGATCACCGCGGACCGGCGAGATGCCAAGTATACCATCGACGTCATAACTACCGGCCAGAACTCGTATCAGAAGCGGATGCAGCTCACGATTCATGATCTGCAAAAGACCGACTTCGGCACGTATCACTGCCTCGCCAATAACTCCGCCGGGGACACCCAGGGTTCCATCACCCTCGAGGGTGAGTGGCCGTGATGGCCTAACTGATCTCTTTTTTTTTTTATACCTACAGTGCGCCTATTCTTTCCGTAAATGTCTTTTTCTTAGAAGAAGGCTGACAATTTCCCCACCCTTTATGTGCTCGACGAGCCTTTTTACGACAGAGAAGTCCAATGGTGAAAAATCTAAATGGCAGGCGCGCATTTTCGTCGAATTAAATACCAACCGTATCATCTGCCGTGTAAATGCGAGCTTTTTACGAGAAACGTCAGGTTCCGCCATCTTTAGACTTTATTTCATCACTGCAGTTCATGTGCTGCATGTTTCCATTATTTTGATTTCTGCTCTCACGGAGTTTCACCGCAAAATTGTCCATGATTCCGTCACGAACGTCCCGAGGGATAAACACGTTCCTTTAGATATCTCCTCTTCGAAGCGTATGTTTCCAACAGATGCCATGCTACACTGCGCTAATGTTTTTTTGGACTTTCTACATGAGAAAATTGGGATCATGCTTTTCACGGCCTGAGAAAGGCCCACATCTTAATCCATGCGATGTTTTTCTCGGGGGACTCCAAGAAGACGTGTTTATGCATCAAAACCCTTAAATTGGATTAGGTGAAAGCAAACATTGAGATTGAAGTCCGAGACATCATTCAGGACGTTTGCGAAGGAATCATACGACACCTTTGAAGGGAGACTCCTTGAGTATAGAATTCATCATGGTGGACATATGGAGCCTACTCTGGCAAAATTGTAGTCTTACAAAATCTCAATATTCTACTTGAGGTTGAGATTTGTGTTAAGTCTGTGTTAACTACCTAGGAAAATATTACCATTTTAAGTTATTGTTCGACTTATGGATCACCCCATTCATCATATCCTGTATGATAAATGAGGGAACCGAAGAAGTGAGAAAGAAAAATATCACTTGGCTCGTTTATCTGTGATGGGGATGCAGAGAAGCCGTCGCCATTGACGACGGAGAGCCCTAAAGCGACGAGTCCCGACGTGAAGGGAGTCTGGGGAACGGATGAAGAGACGAATGACATCTACCATGTCCAAGATCGCGACAAGCCACACGAGAACGGTATGCATGACCGTTCCTTTTTATTTCCGTCCGACGTCTGTCTCCTGGAGTGAGAAAAGTTTTGGATGACGGACTCATAGGAGGGAAGAGGATGGGAGAAGAGGATGACATCCACCGCCAGACGTTCCAACGAAAGAGGAAAAAGACTCACAAGACCCAGACAGACTACTTAAACTCCACCGACCGAGCAGGTGAGTTCTCGGGCTTTTTCGAGAGAAAAATGTAACATTTTTTCCTGCGAAATCGTGGATTCTCAATTTTGGTCCTTTTCCATTCCTAGGGTCCGTGGAATCGGGAAACGTAATGAAATTGCTCCTCCCGGTCCTCGTCGTCTCATCGTCAGGTATCCTCCTATCGTAGAATCGTTTCAGAGACGTGATCCTTTTTCCGAAGAAATTCTTCCCTCATATCAAATCGAGCCTTTTTTGCCCGAATGTTTCCCCTCAGAAGCGGAAGAGATCTTCACGATTCAAAACAGATGTTAAACCCTAGACCCAGTATGATGCCTGTGATAAGCTGGACTTCTGTTAGTCTTATTTAAAGTTTAGCAGGTAGAAATTTTAGACTTTCCTCTGATGTACTCTGACTTCATCTCGATTTTTATCCATGGACAAGGTATTTGAAAAATCCTCATGATATAGTTCGTCTAGTCCCCCAGTGGTCGCATGGAAGGAGAATTTGGTTTTGCAATAAAGTGGTGCATGGAAGCAGTGGGGTTTCACTCCGGCAACGCTGGGGAGGGGATTGCGAAATTAATGACGGGTCTCCCGGATTAACACCGGAACTCCTTTTCTTGTGGTAATGTTCCTCCATGCCCATTTGAAAGACAATGCCTTGCCCCATATACATTCTCCCCCTCCTCCTCTTCCTACATCGACATCATATAGGGAGGTCCGAATGAGTGAATTTCCGAGATTTCCAGCGGGCGATGGAGATGTGGATAAGATAAGGCTGGAGGACACATTGGACGTCAGATGACGTTTACTCGCAGTCCTCTGATGAAGGGAGTCCTCTGCGCCGCACCAGAATTCCACTTTTCCATACGATTTCACTGGATGCCATTAAAGAAGATACCTCATAGTTCCTCCCGCACTAGATGCAACTCGAAGGTGGAGGATTGATAGAAATTGTGCTTCATCGACGAACCAGCTGGATTATCATCTGTAACCGTCATCGACTGTGAGATCTCGCATCTCGTATCGAAGGAATAGTGATGAAATTCGATGGAGCCGCCGGCGAATCTGATTCCGTCGGGGGTATTTCATTAGCAGTGAAGATGCCAGAGTATCTCAATATAATTGAAGGGTGAAGATGATCCGGAATCTGGCTCTTCACTCCAAGAAGTCACGATTAGCAGATAATTGCGCTGCCGTGCCCTCGTATGGCCTTTATTGGCTCACCCTGATCGATGACAGGACCGTTGCAGAAAGGGTGGGGAGAATGCCTCGGAATCATAGTCGTGGGAGGGGAATGAATGTATGCAGATGAGGATGTTCAATCAGGGTCGAAGTGTCAGATGGGGGGGAGGTTCATGTATCATCGTGCCATCCGCTTGCATGGGCCCACACAACCTCTCCAATGTCCATATTCATGACGGGAACGTGGAAAAGCCCACACTCTCTTCACTCGGTGTAGCAAGTTCACCATCCGATCGTCGAACGGGGAGATTCCTCTCGATGAGTTGCATCCCCTCGTTCATGATGCGCGAAGAATGAGAAAAAGAAGACAAAGACACGCGAGGAAAAAACGAAAGGTTTCGTTTCGTCTTATAAGTGGCGTCATCGGATGAGGAATCTTTCCTTCTTTCTTCGTGCTCTTTTCTCAGACTGTTTTTGCACGTTTTGAGAAAGAAAGTGGGCGTCCAATCTGCCGCCACAGGATGAGGTCCTCTGCACTCGACACATGTTGATGGGGAACTTCCCGGCTTTTTGCTCCATCTCATCTTCGGATGGGGGAGAGGCCGAGTTCCGTCCCGCCTCCCTCTTTCTCCTTTATTCTAGTAAGTTGAGAGATGAATGAAGCAAACACCAACCTCATCGACTTTCATATAATCGACACCTTTGGAGCTACGGATCAACATTTTAACAAGATACTCATGACCACTGTGAAATTTCACTTCAGAAAGAAGTTATTTGCGTAAACAAATCAGAATATTTATTACCCAAGATAGGAATGGGGAAAGCATTAATGGAAGATATTCCCCCTCTCCCCTCCCCATTTTCCCCCTCAGCTTGCACAACTATACAGAGGTGGTGTAGGCGGTAAATCGATGATGTTTTCAGCCTCATTTCACATCGACCTCAACCGAGGAGAAGCGTAATTAATTAAGCGCGTATAGTTCGGTCATTGATTGCTTGCCGGTCATGAAAGACTCCATTATGTCTGTCTTCCCCTGTTTTATTCATTATTACTGTGCCATTCTGCACGGTCTTCCAATGCTATTTTCCCCTCGCACAAGTCTTGATAATAGACCGCAATTGAAGTAATGTTTCTTGCCAGTCTCCTTATTCTGACACGAAAGAGAACCATATATAGCATTCGGTACATCCAAGGTACGATTGACGTGAATGGCCTCGGTGCAGTTATAGAATCAACCTTTGCAGATGGAAAATTTGATTCGAATTCGATGAATTTTAAAGTCGATTCCATCGGTCGGGGAATGAATTCGTGTCGGTTTTTGATGCAGCGACGAGGAATAACTATTCTCTCCGTCGAACACCGTCTCGAACCCATAATTTGCTTCCATTTTCGGGCCGTTTCGTAGACGACTCGAACTCGGATTTAACCCGAGACGGTGGATTTTCCGCGGAATGCAGTCGAACCCCGTGGAATCGCTCGGCAGAAACGGGAGCTAAACGAGAGGATACCGACGGAAATCCCCTTCTGACCCCGATGATAAACGGCACGAAACGAGCGCTGACAGCCATGGCTGCGAAAAGACCGAGTCCCATGGGTGGAATGAGGGCGATAAGAATCATGACCTCGCGAACAGAATGCGATGCCAGGCGAGAAGAAATTGAAAATTTCCTCCTGTCAAGATATATATATTGTATGGTGGGGATGGAAATGTTCATGACGGCTTCGTCCGTGGAATACGAAGTAGGAGATTCCCTTGTTGATCCGAATCCCAATGAACGAAATATGCCCTAATGTCCATCACTTTCCCTTTCCCTCTTTTCCTCTTCCCGGTTTTTTTTTATGGGCCCTTATCCTTTCTTCGGGGTCAATAGAATCTCTTTCCTTCCTGACAGTCTTTCACCCCATACTCCTTCTCCCGACCCCGTGGGCAACGGCTTTACGCTTATTATATCTATGATGGACACGGAATGAGAAAGCCGTTCTCATTTTTCGCACGTGCCATATCGGTATCTTATGAGCTATCCTTTGCCGGAATGGGCAAGGGATTTTCGTGCTTAGACAGCGTTGGGTTTTTGCTAGTCGCGAGTAACTAAACCAATTAAGTCACTTTCCAGGTAACTTGCTGCTTTACTCAGTAGCTTTTGAAAGTCTATTACTTGTACTTAACTGAATTACTTTCTAAAAGAGACAAATAATTTTTTGCAAAATGAAATTTAAAGTTACTTTCTTCTTTTTCCCGAGAATGATTTCTCAGGAGATGGACCTACACACAAACTTTTTCGACACGAAAATGGTTGTCCCTATCATGACACACTCGGAACGTGCCAAAAGGTGTGCCGAATATTATATCAAAACAAAGTGTGTCCAAGTGACCATACGAGTACGAGTACAAAATGTGTCAATTCGACACTAAATGTTTTGTGTGCAGCAGCTCATCATCTATTTCGAATGGAACGCTAGTTGACCTCAGGTTATAACCTGATGTCAGCTAACGACAGTCGGCTAATCTGCGCAGCAATGCCGAAATCATGCAGTTCACACAGAGACCTTTTGACACATAACGTACTTGTCAGAAATTCGACACACCTTTTGGCACATCCCAAGTGTGTCGTAATTATATTGACAAAAAAGTTTTGTGTGTACCTTTGCGACTAGGTCTGAGTTTTTGCTATTTTCATTGGAGAAAAAATCTTGTTAGAGGCCGGCACGATTTTCCTAGATGGAAGCTCGTGAATAAACCGATCATCTCTGTCCTTTAGTGCCTCTTGCGTTCTCGTGATTCATTGAAAGTGATCCGGAATTGTATTTATTGTCACCCGGGAAGACTGTGACTTAGCTCAGTTGCATGCACAAAGCTGGTTATCCGATGCCACTTAGGCAAAAATTGTAAACGAAAAGGAATTCCCGA